AAACTACAAGGACGATGTTAAAATACAAACAGCTGAATGTTATTTATCGTGATATTTATCAAATATTGTTATATATTGAGAAAAATATATATTTAATTTTAAAAGAGAATTAAAATAAAAACACTCAAAAGTATCGAAAATTGGTACCGTTGAGTACCGGTATCGATTCGTAGGTACCGGTAATTAGTACCGGATCGATTCAAATGTCAAAGGTACCCATCCCTAGCTGCCAGGTGTCACAACAGACGGTTGTCCAAATCTTACAAGGAAAAATGTCGGATTTTTGAAACGCATGCAAGATAAAGTGACAGAAATCGATGCAGGTCAAAAATTGGTGTTTTTGCATTGTATTATACACCAACATGTGTTGTGCAAGTCAGTGCTAAAAATCAACCATGTTACTGATGTTGTTACTAAAATAATAAACTTCATCAGGGCGCGGGCGATGGATCACAGACAGCTTCTCGCTCTTTTGGAGGACTCCACACAGCTGTCAGATGGCTCAGCCTGGGGAAAGTGCTGAAGAGGGTTTGGGACTTGAAAGCAGAGATTCGAGAGTTTTGCGAGAGGAAAGGCAAAGACATTCCAGAGCTCTCAGATGAGGATTGGATGGCAGATTTTGCATTTGCTGTTGATGTGACTGCACTGATGAATGAACTGAACACCAAACTGCAAGGCAAGGGCCTTTTTGTTCATGAAATGCACAGCCTCGTGAAGGCCTTCATGAGAAAGCTGCAGTTTCTTTCAGGTCAACTGGAGAGCAACACTCTCACTCACATGCAAACCCTGAACGAAGTCACACCATCAGCTGATCACCTCAGCAGGTACTCATCCATGTTAGGAGCATTACATTGTGAGTTTTCAAGGCGTTTTGAAGATCTCAGAACAATCGAGGATGAAATGCACATGATTTCCTCTCCCTTTACCTGCAGTATGGATAAAGCACCCAGTGATGTGCAGCTGGAACTACTGGCAGAGCACTTTAAGTCAGGATCTCTGATGGATTTCTACTCTTCTCTTAAGGAGGAGAACTTTCCAAACCTGAGGAGACATGCTCAGAAGATGTTGGTTCTCTTCAGCTCTACCTACATTTGTGAACAAACATTTTCAATGATGAAGTTTACAAAATCCAGATATAGATCCTCTCTCACTGATGATCATTTGTCAGCTGTGCTTCGCATCTCCACCTCAGACATTCAACCTGACTGATGCACTCGTTAAAGCCCAGCAGAGACTAGATTTCTCTCATTGAATAAGAAAATAATCGCTTAAAAACACAAAATAAGGTGTTTGGACCACAAATGTAGGCAACTAGCAGTGAACTGGGACACTTTTTTTAAAACCTCTTTCTCAAGATCACAGTTGAGTGATTTTATTTTACAGACAATACTGTGTGTCTGTAGAATGCTAAGAACCTCTTTCCAACAATATTTGAAACTCAAAATGTGTTTTGGAGTGAATGTGACTGAAACTGTTAACTAATATAAGTCACAAATGTTTAACAAAAACCAAATGCGCACACTTTGTTTACCATTGCCTTGGGAAATTCGAATAAATCACATTTTTGTAAGCCAACCTCACTTTTTCCTTTTTGCTCATTTATAACATATAGTCTACTCTTACCAGCTTGAAAAAACGATGGTATTTACTGCTTTTTATAAAGAAATACCATTAATATTATGCATGATTGACTTCAGCCTTTTGGCCTGGCCCTCCGCAATATTTTCTGTTTCTCATGTGGCCCCATGGAAAAAATAATTGCCCACCCCTGGAGTGGGGTCTGTACCTCACCACTTTTGGCCTCTTCCTGGGGAACTGCACCTTCCCCTATCTTCTGAGTCCCTTTAGGACTCTGGTTTATTCAAGACCAGGTGGTCTCTGTACGGACCACCGCGCCATTGAAAAGGGGGGATATGTAACGTAATGAAACGACTGTTTTCCACCTAAATGTCATTTCCCCCCTCTCCTCAGCAAGAACTAATCTGCATGAGATATTGCTCAAGGTCATGCATTTGCTTCTAAACTGTTTTCCTTTCCAGCCCAAGAGAAGAATGAAGACAAAGGACTCTTTCTTTTTAGTAAATCAAAGAACTCTATTTTTAATAAGCTAATCAAACAAAGTGTTAGTCGATAATAAAACGTGAACCAATTTGTGAAATGAAAATATGAATTACTTGATATTATAATCCTACAGAATATAATAAGTAATGTAACTTTAAATGTTTCCACTAGAGACTGATCACACGCAGCGTTAAGACATGACACATTGCTTTCACTGATCCAGTCAGAATCTGCCAGATCTGACAGAGGCGTGGTTTTGGTGGTGCTTGGTAAAACTGTCATCTTTTCATTCAACCATAAACCAAAATATCTGAAGTATAAAACTATGCCCATGTCATCTTTAACGCCAGTTCAAAGCGTTCTAGAGAAGTTGTCGGAGTGGCCAATCCGTAACTTTCCTCTTCAGCCGAAAGAACCAACGACAAGCTGGACAAAATCTGTTGCATTTTACCAACCAAGCAACGGTTCCTTTCAGAATAAAAGCTGAACTCATTGACCCTCCGGGTTCATCTGATGCTGTCAACCAGCTGTCGCTTTTTACCTGGAGACAATGCAAAGACTAGTCTGTCGCACTGCTGACGCTGTTTCATCGGCTCCGGTACCGAAAGACGGGTTCGAGGACCTGGCATTCTGGATCTGTATGGAGGTCTCATTCTAAGGGTATGTGTGGAGCGACAAAAATGGCGTCTTATGTGTTTATGAACCTCCAAATCAAAGCTTAGCGCAAAGACACCACCTTCATTCCCATCAGAACTAATCTGTCATGATTTGCTGGTTCTGAAAAACATTCCACACTACACCATTCTCCGTCCCACTTCACCTTAGTTACACCATACATTTAGTGTTTAAAGTTAGTCTAGTTTTAATTTGTTTAGTAATAAATCTTTAAACTTTTAAAACTTGACTCTCTCTTCTGTTGTCTCCGAGTTAATACGAAGTTGTTACATAATCCCTGCAATAAAAAGTTCCAATCTTCTGGTTAAAAGTACCCAAAGATCCATAAGATTGATTTCATATTTATTGTGGAATCTCATGTCTTATGGTTCATTAAATAGATGTAAAATTAACCCTTTGCAAAGGTTTTTTTTCTCTTGAATGTTATTTCTGTGAAGGGGAATACACAAGAAAAAAAATGTATTAATGTGGGTCAAACAGAACTAAAGCGTTATATGAACCATAAAACTGAATTTAATGATTTACTCTGAGTAAACTTAAAAAGGGGACAAATAGAAAAAAATAGATAACTTGAACTAGAGTTTATTAAAAGGTTGCAACCTACTACTACTATTCCAAATTAGAACCAAGTGTTTAAATCCAAAATATAGGTTCAATTGCTGGATTGATCAAAAGCAGTCCTTGATATGTGTTTTGTATGTTTATTGTCCATGTATTTTCTATTTACTACTACCAATAATAAGCCGGCAGTTTAATTCTGGTCTGCAGTTTTCTTTCCTCTTCTGTCAATTTTTATTCAAATCCTAAATTTACTCCAGTAGTCGAATCTACCTGCTCCATACTGGTCCAAACTTCAGTCTGATATCTCTCCTGTAACTGCCTCCATAAAGAGCATTACAAAAGTATCCCTTTAGTCTCTGCTATCTACTCTACAGGATAAACAAGCTCACACCTACATGTGCATCAGCACTCACAAGCACATAAACTACTTTACAACCACCTGTCATTAACAAGACTGGAGTTTCTGGGACAAGACAGAGAGAAATAGAAAGTATTAAAACCACTTAAATGACTCAAACCAGGAAAGCACAGATAAAAACTCTGTATGAGGAGAAAATTGAGGTTATTTAGTTTAGCCCTAAGGAGAACTCACACACCCTTCCTGCAGCCCTCGGATCGCTGCAGCCATACACTAAACCATATGTCACCAATCTGGGTGTAATTATGGACCAGGAGTTAAATTTGATGAACAGATTAGTTCTGTTCAGCAGAAAAGCTCACAGTCAAAGCTGATACCTAAAAGTTGTGTTGAAAGAATGACTCATTCTTTGATCACAGCTGCTCCCTGCACCAGAAATTGACTTTAAACTTCTTCTATCAACTTCCTAAATGTTCTTGCTGACCCGCGCCGCACTCACCTGCGTGTACAACTACGTTCCATCCCAAACTCACAGATTAGCTGACTGGCTAATATTGGTGGCTCCTCAATAAAAGCTGGTTTGGACGTATTTTAGTGGTCCCAAGACTTAAACCAGTCACCTCTAGAAATCAACATCCTCATTTAATTATTTTAAATGTCTTTAAAACCTCACATTGACAAATTTTACTTAGTAGTGTTATTTTAATTAGTCATTTTATTTTCTTTACACAAATAACTTTTGGTTGTAACTTTAAATTTTTTTTAATGTTCTAAATTTTTCTCACCGATCCCCAAAACATCATTTATAAGCTTAACATGGTCTGGAAAATAAATGAATCAATCATAATCAACATCAGAGATCTATATCTTCTTTAGATCTGACAAACGTTAAGGCAAATGTTTAAACAAAAGGGGAGAAAAAATAAAAAATATGACCGAGGCGATCAAAACTAAATTCTGTAAATTAAATAAATAAATAAAGCAAGCAGCTAAATTATGAGAAGAGGAAACAACAATAAAACTGTAAATTTGCAAAAAAAATGATCAACAATGGTGGCAAAATACAGTCATACGCTTGTCTTCACAACCAATAGTGATAAATCTATTGAAGTATGACTATAAGACTTCACTCTAACATAGCAAACAACACAGACAGAAGCATAAACTGAGCTAAAACACTTTAAGGCTACGTCTATTGACCATGTAAACGGACACACGGCGAGAGGGATGAGCTAAGCTTCTAGCACGTCTCACAGATGGGACTGCAGGGCTAAAAGGTCTACTGGAAGCACAAAAATGTTAGTGAGAGACGGACGGATGGATGATAGTAAGTAAAATGATCAACCTCAGCCACATCCGTTTCATCATCAAAGGCAATCAGCTGCAAGAGAAGAAGTAGTAGGCAGACAGTTAGTAGAGCTTGTTAGTGGGTTAGAGCCCCGTTCACAAGATGTAAAGCTCTCTATCACACACGCACGCACGCACGCACACACACACACACGCGCGCGCGCGCACGCACGCACGCACACCTGAAACGAAGTTAGTAAACTTGTGAAACAGAAAGTAACTGATTCTACCATCACCATGGCGTATCAGTGTTTCTATATTAGACATGACTGTATACATTCTAGCTATTGGTTCATAACTGATCAGATATTTATTTATTCAGTCTTCCTCATAATGCTGCAGACCGTTTAGACTGATGACTGACATGGAGGATTTATTTTAAATCAGTTCTTTTTCTCTGTATAAAAGTTACATAAAAAGGGTGAAAGATTTTAATCAGCTGTTTTTAAACGCCTGTAGAAGTGAACATGAACATGCAGACAGGAACTTTAGTGAATTTGGTGTTCTCAGAGGACAGACGTTCTAATCGGTTATCGTGAAAATAAATAAATAAATAAAACAGGAAATCTTTCATAGTCTAGAGCAGCGGTGGCCAAATTGTGGCAAGTGGACCGTTTGTGTCCCTTGAGCCTATTTTGTCCATCCCTCAACTCTAAACCCAGAATGGTGGAAATGTGTCACTCCAGCTCAAACTGCTGATCAACGGATGCAGAGTGTAGGTTGAACGCAGTGCAGGTAAATCAAATTATTTTCAAAAATGGAAAACAAATGATATGGTTTTTATTTACATTGTTTGGATTTTGGTTTAATTTCAAAATAAATAGAATTACAAACCATCACAGACCTGTGATTAATAAAACCTAACTACATACAGCACCCATCACAGACAAACCTGTGACTCTGATCCAGTTCTTCTTGATAAATGACAAAAATGTATTTTAAAGATCAAGAAACTAGAAAACAACCGACCCGCCAAATCCAGTTTTAGATGTTTCTCTTTGCCTTGAGAGTTCTACTGTTAAAGCAAACAGTCATTCTGCCTGTGTTCATATTTTGATAGGTAATAACTTCACTTAGATGGATCTCATGTTGTCCTGGCCTTTCCTATTTTTGTGTTATAATTTCCATAAAACAACATATCAAAATAGAAATGTGGTTGTTTTTGGCTTGGTCTCCCACAAGTTGTCACCCTGACGGTTCTATTGATTACATGGTAATTTTCCCCCCGGAAGGCATCATCGTTGCTAAGCAACCAACTTCCCAGCTCACACATGCTCACTGTCCGTTCAAACTCTCATCATCATCATCATCATCATCTTTATTTGTATAGCGCTTTAAAAAATGCAGCCATACGGCTGACCAAAGTGCTGAACAGTCACACAATAATATAAATATAACACATGAAACAATAAAATGCAACCAAGAATACAATAAAACAAGCCAAAAATAAAATAAGTTACCAATAAAACCAATGGAAACATGTCTTCCAAGTATAGTAAAGTAATAAAGCCCATCCAGCAGCTAACTGTTAAATGCAAGGGTAAAATAGTGTGTCTTTAATCTAGAAACTTCTTAAAAACTTCTAAGGAGGATGCCTGTCAAACTGTGACTGGGAGTTCATTCCACAGTTTAGGACCACCAATGGAAAAAGCTCTTTCTCCACATGATTTGTAATGCACTTCCGGGACCTCGAGGAGCAACAAGCTGGAGGACCAAAGTGTGCGGCCGGGGGAATAAATTGAGAGAAGGTCAGATAAGTACGCAGGGGCAAGACCGTGGAGGGATTTGAAAACAAAAAGTAGGAGTTTGTATTGAACCCTGAAAGTGATGGGCAACCAGTGAAGGGATCTGAGAACTGGTGTTATATGCTGGCGCCCGTCAGTACATGTCAGTGTGTGCAAACTAGCTGCTAAAACGGCTTTTAGAAGAATGTTCCCCGTGAAACAAGCATTAGCAATGATGCTGCTTCAGGCAGAGGGAGCTGATGAGAACTGGTCAGTAGGAAATGGCAGAGACTCTGACAACAACATGGTGCAAGATCTCTGCCCCGCCCCAAGTCTCAAAGAACATTGATTGACTGAGAGGTGGTTTGTTGACATGTCTGGTCTCTGATCTGGAAACCTAACTGGCTCTGGACCACGGTAAGTTACCATAGTAACAAACCCAGGTAAGAAGAGATCCAGCTTGATGATCTGCTGATCTAGCTTCGTAGTAAAGAGCTCTGTTCTGCTTGTTTGCAGCTTGAAGAGAGTCTATTTGGACTACAGCACTGTACCCGACAGGTAAACACACCCACAGGTGCTAGTGCTAGTGACTAGAAGTGTGCAGTCACATTAAAATACTACTATCAGTATACTGGAGTACTAAGCCACTGGAGTCAGTGACATCTAACAAATGACTGATAAATGAATAAATAAATTCTGTTGCATTATTGGAGACAATAGTGAGTGTAGGGCTCACGAGCTAAATAGATTTAGTGTTAGTATGATAGCCCATTA